TTCTTTTCTTTTTTTTGTGGACAAGGAGGTGGTGGGGGACAAATGGAGTACACATTTGGTGTACCCTTATCATTTTTTCTTAATTTTATTATTTCATTTAAAAAAATACAAGTGAACATCATTTATAACTTGAGTTTATTCCACATTTACCACCTTTGTAAAAATAAATACGGAGTATTTAAAATGCAATAAAAAATTTATATTACGGAGTACAAAATATTTTAGTATGGAGTATAATTTATTTAAAAAAATAAAAATCATCCAAAATAAGAGTAAAACATAGAGAAAGTATCAAATTATTTTTTTTTGAACTCTAATAACTCTATTACAAAGCAATATTTGTTAGTACATCCTCAAATTATTGAGACTCGCATAAGCATTTCCCCTACCAGCAATCAAACACATTTTCTCTCATTTGAAATAATCATAACCCCAGACCCTACTTTTGTGGGATTTAACTGGGTTGTTGTTGTTGTTGAAATAATCATAACGCTATTATTAGACTACAAGATTCTTGACATATGAGAGCAATGATTTATTAAACATGATTACATGAACATTGTTTTAAATACTTTTTTTATGAACCCTCTCACATAAAAAATACTCTGTATTTTTTATTTCCTTGAATCCCAAACATTTGCTGACAAACAACGAGTTAAAAAGTGAGGTTAGAGCGGATTGTGACTACCAATTTTTTGAATGAATCGAATTAGAATGATGTCAGAATTTGACACTAATAAGACAGATGTAAATTTAGACTTTGTTTAAAACTATAAAGTCAAAATTTATGAAAACAAGAAAGAAATATTGTGATTGGTAAAACACATAAAAAAGAGATGTAAAATTCGTGCACGTCTATTTTAGGAGTGATTTGGCTATCTTAAAGTACACATCTAATATGTGCACCTACTAACAAGATTTAAATTTGGTGGGTTCAAAACTTAAAATATTAGAAATACTCCATAATAACATTAAAAATTACAATAATAATAGTAATTATTAAAACTATAATAATCATCATTATTATTAATTAATAATAATAATAATTACAATAATAATAATATGGATTAATATTATTATCATTACTAATTAATAGTAATAATAAATAATTAAAAATATTAATTTATTATCATCGTACTTAATAATAATTGTAATAGCAATTAATAATAATGATTCAATTAATAATAATGATTCAAATTATAATTTATTATAATAATATTAAATATAATTATTAAAATAATAAGAATAATAATAATAATTAGTAAATACAATTATAATAATAACAATAAAAAATTAATTTTGTAATTATTATTGTTATTATTAATTAATAAATTATTATTATTATTCAAATTATTTGAATTTGAATTAAATCAATTCATATGAGATTAGATCCATTCAGATCAGATCCATTCCTATCAGATCAGATAAATTTAGATCAATTTCATTCAGATCAGATCAACTTTAAAAAATTCAGTTCAGATCAGATCAACCGAAGAGAACGCTGCCTTAAACTGTAGAGAATAAATATTTAAATTTTCCTTGTTGGGGTTTGAAATTCTGGCCTCCCATTTAAGGGAATCATGTTGATGGATTACAATGTCTTTGACGAATATTATCACTTTTAATCCTTTGTTTGTGTATAATATTGAGGATCTGTGATAAAAGTATGGCTATAAATTATATTACTCAAAATTAAAGTAATTATCTAATAGAGTTTCATGAAAAGGACATTATAATCTAACGACATAACTGTACATCTCTCAAATGAGAAGTCATAAGTTCAAAGATTCACCAATTTTTTGCTCTGTGGTATGATGGAATAAAGCGAAATGGGTGATGCTTACATGGTCCAAGGTTCACATTTAAAATATGGACCTTCTCATAAGTTTTATGGATTTGCATGTAAATATTTTCGTTTTTGCAAGGGTCCAACTCTTTTATGTTACAAATACACTAAGATCCATAAAATGTGCATGACCTTAGATTTGTGAAAGAATTTTCCAAGCGAAATATATTTTTAAACAATCTATGCTTCTTTCTACATTCGGGTAGGGGTAAGTTCTCAGTGTATGCACCCACGCTATTTTTATAAAATTCAATTGGATTATTATTGTATGTATAAACATATACGAGTAAAGTGCATTCTTTACCCCCCGTACTCTTAAAAAATTGCATGCTTTACCCCTGAACTTTAAAAAGTGCATCGTTTACCCTCGAATTCTTATAAAATTGCACGATTTACTCTCGCATACTAAAAAATACATCAAATACCCTTGAACAAATTAAATCGTTACATCGTTGGTCCTAAAGTCTAAACTATTAGATAGGGAGTGCGTTGCTTCCATGCACAAGAATTGCGAATATGATTCATCTCGCCCTTGTGAATTTTCCAAAGTACCTTTCTCCAAAATTGTCGTCTTTACTTAAATATTCAGGAGTAAATAGTACAATTTTCGAAGAGTTCGGGGGTATTTGGTGTAATTTTTGTTATTCAGGGATAAATCGTGCAATTTATGAAGAATTCAGAGGTATTTGGTGCACTTTTTAATGATTGAGGGTAAACCGCGTAATTTTCAAACAATTCAGGAGTAAACTGTGCACGTTTCTCAAACATATACTATGAGTACATTATACGGAGTAATAAAGTTATTCGTGACCAAATAGAATTTCATAAATTAATTAACTATTCGTAGATGCAAAATATCTCAAAAATTTACTCAAAAAATAATTTATGTGTTGGGTTGGTGGGCTGGTGAAGCTGATGTGATTCATATGAATCGGTCAACACGATCCCATTATTCCTACCTAATGAGTGATGACTGGCCCATTTTGTGTACTCATAATCCTAAACCACCCAACATTTTACCATCATTCATAATTTTAATCCTAAACCACCCAACATTTTACCATCATTCATAATTTTAATCCTAAACCACCCAACATTTTACCATCATTCATAATTTCATCAAAACAAATTGTAGTAAAAATATTTTATTTTATTAAATGGTCAATGAAAATATATAAATAAATACAAATTATTGAGATGGTCAAATACTAAAAGTGTAAATCGTTTTGGGGAGTATAAAGTATATTCTCTTCAACATAAAATTATCATTCTACTTCGAACAACAAAATATTGCATCTTTTAAAATATTTTTATTTACAAATCACGATAAAAATAAAAAAACTATTTCGAGTATATACTCCGTAAAACTTTTACAAAATAAGTGAAGACATGTTTATTTTATTTTAATAAATAAATATAAAAAAAACATGCTAACTAACTTTAGTGACTTCACTTAGATAAGGATTATGCTATGTGTACCCCAAGATTTGTACGCCAATTTGTACCCCGCAGTTTTGCACCAATATTTTGTGTTGGTGTAAAACTAATTTTTGTTAAACGCACCAACATTTGTGTCCGTGTGAATATTTATTAACGCACCAACACTTGTGTCGGTGTAAACCATCGAAATGTTTGTGCAAACCTGTGGTGTACAAATGGGGTATATTTTTTGGTGTAAGTGTAGCATGGTCCCTTAGATTATTCAAACACACTCAAAAGAATGGCAACTTATTATTATGTCCATACCATTAGTTAACTTTTTTCAAACATATGTTGGAAATCCAATTGGGGAGATTGAGTAGGTTGAGTGGGTGTGGATTCCTTCCCACTATCCCCACCCAACGTCTGGCCCACTGGCCCATTTAGCCACTCATTATGTAGTGTAGTCAAAATTCGGTTTTTACACCCCTAAGCTTTTTATTCTCTCTTATTTAAAATCCTTTCCTAGAATGTTATTTATGTTTCTGTTTATGAGACTTTATTTTTTGTTTGGTTGTAAGCTTAAAATTTAAAAATAAAATTTAAATATTTAAAAAATTTATCAAAATTCCTACAAAATAAGAGGTGACAAAACTATAATATTTTATTAAAATAGCTAACGACAATAGATAAAGAAAGTGATTAAAGTTAAACCGTGTGAATATTGTTACAATATTCTGTATCTATTGACAAGATAGAAATAAAAAACGACACCAGAGATCTCATTGAAAAAAAATACTCAAACTTAAACTTAATTATATCTAGCCTTTAAATGAAAAAACATACACTAACATAATGCTGTCTTTTTATTTATCAAATAACGGAGTATAATAATGTATAAATAGTACTCTGGGTGACACTATTAACAAAAGGAGTATAATTATTTTGGTACACATATATAAATAAATGATAATCATATTTTATTCGTTTTAGAATATTTGTCTGGTTTTTACTTTTTACAGTCAACTTATACCATCTCTTTAATCAATAATTATATAAAAAAGTACATGTTATATTAACTAGATAAATAAGTATTATGAAAAGATTTTACAAGCTAATCTAATAAAATTATTCTTGTACCAATTATCAATATCGATTATAAATTTTATTTAATTCATACCCAAAATTTATCAATTTTGTCTGCAAAAAAATTAAAAGTAGACAAATATTTTGAGACGGATGTAATAATAAATTTATTTTAAGACGAAAGTAATATTTACTCCATATTATAGCTAATACAGAGTCAGTGGCGTTGCGCAATTGGCAGGACAAAGAATGCTGAGAGGAAACTATGCTAAGCATAGAATCTCTCCTTTGCCATCAATTTATGATCAAAATCCAATTTACATCCTCTGACCGTTCGGCTAAGTCTGAGGGAGGCCTCATGGATGGGACTCATCTTTTTTTTTCTTCTAAAAGAGACCATCTTTGATGAGATGGTACATGAAATATAAGTATTCTAAAAAAACTTTTACCAAGGAAAAAATATATATGGTGTAATAATATTTTTATGAGTGGTCAAATTGAACAAAATTTAATCACCACATACATTAAATTAAACTTGCAATGCATATCCACAAAATAGAATAAATTTTTAACATCGAGTGGTTTTTAATTTTTGTAAGATAAATATATTTTGCACTAAATATCTAATACAGAGTACAAATTTAATTTAATTTATGATTATAATTTATTCAAGCTGCTACCGTCAAAAAGAAAAAAAATCAAACTCAAAAAAAGATAGTACGTGTAGATAGTAACAAGTCAATAATGCAAAACATATGCATTGTATTCAACGGTCGCGTCACCGGTTTCCAAGTCAAGCCAATGCGTCCTTGCCTGAACGTAACCCCGGGCGAACCGGAAAAGCCCGCTGCCGCCGACCACCGACAACTCCCTCACCGCGTCCATCGCCGGATTCCGGCCGACCACCGTGAGGGTGCTCCCGTTATACTTCCCTTCGATGAACGCAAAGTTCATGACCATCAAGAACCCAATCCCCTGCTGGGACGCCGACGCGTACAGCCCCTGGGCCCTCCCGACGCAGTCGGAGGTCAACTCCGGCCGGAGGGTCAACGGGTTGTCGATCATGTTGGCGTAGCCGAACCCGGTGGTGGAGTTTCCCGGCGGCGGGATGACCATGACGGACGTCGGGTTTTTGCCGCTCAGGACGTCGTGCCAGTAGAAACGGAAGTGGCTGAGTTTTTCCTTCTTTTGGTGAATCCTAGTCCATGTAGGGATCCTCACCTATATAAACATCTTTGTACACAATTATTCTTTAAGAGTGAATTCATAAATCAACATGGTATCAGAGCACAAAGATCCGTGTCTCTCCCCTTTGCTGCGTTAATCACCGAAATTTTTTCGGCACTGCCGATTTCTTCTTCTTTGTTCAAGCCGTGCTCAGCCATGGCTCCTGTATCCTCTGATCCGATGGATCGTCTTCCTACGGGACTCAAGTTGTTTGTCCGGAATCTTCAATCCCTAACTCCGGTCAAGCTTGATGACACCAATTATCCCTCTTGGTCAGCCACCGTCCGTGCAAATCTCCTCGCTCATCGTCTTCTCGGTTATGTGGATGGATCTGAACCATCTCCTCCGCCTCTTATTCTCGATGAGAAGGCTGCGGCATCGGGGAAGGATGAATCCCCGGTTATGAAGCCCAATTCCGCCTATGAATCATGGCATATTGTTGACGCTCAGATTCGGGCCTGTCTCCTCGCTATTGTTTCACCCACGGTTCAAACCCACATTCACGCTCTTCCCACCGCGGCTGCAATCTGGAATCATCTAGAGCAACGGTACAATTCTCTTTCACGCACTCATATTTTTCAGTTGAAGGAGCGTTTACATGGTGTTACTAAGGGGACTGATTCCATGCAAACATATTTGGACACTGTTCTCACCATTGTGTCGTCTCTCAAACTGGCTCATGAAGAAATCTCCGAACAAGATATTATTCTTTGTGTTCTACGAGGTCTACCAGCTGACTATGCCTCCCTCAAGCAAAATATTCGCACCAATATTGCCACCGTCACCTTTAATCAGGTCTCCTCTTGGTTGCTGTCTGAGGAATTAAATTTATCCTTTGAGAAAAAATTGTCTCTTGGTGACTCCGGCTCTAATTCGTCTGTTAATATTCATAATGCATGCTCTCTACACCAACTCCGGACGAGACAATGGTCGGGGTCGTGGCCGTGGACCACCGCGAGGCCGAGGAGGGCCTTACCGCGGCGGTCAGCCCGGCGGCAGAGGTTGCCGGCAGCCACAGTACCGCGACGACGCACGCGGCAGAGGAGGTGGCCGGGGGTCCATCACGTGCCAACTCTGTGGGAAGCTTGGCCATGCGGTCTGGAATTGTTGGCACCGCTACGATGAATCATATGCTGGTCCTCCGCAGGCGTTTTATGCAAATCAATCTGCTGAATCTAGTTCGAACTGGCATCTGGACACTGGCGCAAACACCCATGTCACGCCCGATCTGTCTCGGCTGCATACTTTGACTCCATACCATGGCACCAATTCCATCACAACTGCAGGAGGTAACACCTATCCCATTGACCATACAGGCTCA